AAAAGTGTTTCCGTTAAAAGTTGCTCGTGAAGCGTAGTTTTGCAGAGAAATAATATAATGTGCCAATTAGTTTTTTTAAAGGTAATTAGATGGAAGGTGAGTTCTTGTAAAGGAGAAACTGCTGAGTAGGTATTTTAAACAACGCTTCTTTTCTTGTTTCATTCTAAATTTGTGAAGTGTCGTAGTGGGCATTTAGCAGTATGGACCAAAACATTAAAGTAAAATAGGCTTTTGGCTTTGCTAAGATCCAGATGTCGTCTGGACTGCATATCTGAACCCGAAAATTACTGAAAGCGTAGGCATTTCTAGTTTGGCAGAGATAGAAGGGCTGTTCACAGTAGCTGGCGTGTGACATCTTTCGGGCATCCTAATTTTTTTAGGTGGGCTTAACAAACTACGCGGCCGCGTATGCGACAGGCCTTCTCCTTGCCCGAAGGCATTTGACGAAGCTGGAACTTGCTGATGCTTACAAAGGAGTTGAAGCGATCGATGGAGAGGATTATAATGTGAAGCAAGAAGGGGATCGTGCTCCGTTTCGTGCAGTATTAGACATAGGACTTGCGCGAACTACAACCGGAGCTAAAGTTTTTGCTGTGATGAAAGGTGTTGCTGATGGCGGTATCGAAGTACCACACAGGTATAATGCAAAAGGCTCTGTGATCGTCACTAACCACGGCTTAATTTGTCCAGTTTCTCGTTCTTTTTTTCTTTTGTTTTTGTTTTTTTGACATTTGACTTTTTTATTTCACTTTTCCGTTTATATGCAGGAGTTCAAAATTTTATCCTTCCTCATATATTAGAGCTTAAGGTGAATTATTTTTTCAAAGGACGCGTAGGTGATACATGAACTCTTTAGTTCAGATAATTTAATTAAGGGAGTTTTTATGAGCAGTCTTGTTTAGTAGTGATATTTTTTTAATCATACTTTGCTCTGAATCGTAAATAGGTTTCTGTTTTAACATTTTTGCAGATATTCTTAGAAAGTCTGCGCTTTGATTAGTCCGTGTTTTAGTGAAACTCGTTTCTTTGGTTACGATAACGAGACTAAAAAATATAACGCGGAAGCTCACCGAGACCGCATATTTGGAAAGCACGTTGCTGAATACATGGAACATCTTAAAAAGGAGGACGAAGATGCATATAAGCGGCATTTCTCAAAGTTTATTCAGGAGGGCGTGACAGCAGATAACGTAATTTTTTCACATTTTGCGAAATTCATTTTCTAACTCGGCTGCTGTTATGAATTCCCCTAATAAATACGGGAATCAATCAAGATTTCTAACCTGATAAAGTTGTTAAAGTACTTCTAGTTGGAAGAAATGTACAAGAAAGCCCACGATGCTATCCGCAAGAACCCAGCAGCTGTAAAAGTGGAGAAGCAGGTTGGTATTTTTTTCCCGAGTTGTTCCGCTTGTCACTTCCACTTTGCTCTAGTCGAGGATTTTGAAACTTTGATTGGAATATTTCAGCCTCCCAAGGAGAAGAAGGTGTGGAACAAGAAGAAGTCATCGCTAGCAGTGCGCAAGAACCGCGTGAAGAACAAGAAGGCTTACTTGCTAAGGTTAAAGGCCTTAAAAGAAGCTCAAGAATAAGTAGAATTTGTTATTGCCCTCGAGAAATGTGTTACCAATTTGTTATTAATTTGGAAGTAAAAGTTGTTGCTATCTTCCAAGGAGAAGTGCAAAACTGGCTTCCTTTGCTTGATATCCATTTCTCTTTTTAAGCATTAGGCACTTTCCTTTAGGCCCCACTAAGGACCGGCAAGGTCGCGTCTGGGATTCCTGGTTTGTGTGTCTTTTCACTGGGGATTGAGGGTCATGAGTTATTCCAACTTCAACAGTGGAGAGGCAGTTTTTGGAAGGTTGTTGCAAGTTGACGTGGGACAGGTTCTGGGACCAGGTTCGCATTAAGTTATTACTTTGCGGGGGTCGGTGGGCACTCAATAAGCTTATACTCTTGAAACGGGCTCGTTTGAATGATGCGAAGACCTTGCTTTCATGAGAGCTTACCCAAAACGAATTGAACTTGTTAAGCGATAAATGTTTCATATATTCCGTCTCAAATATCCAGGAACGTAGGTCTTTGAAGGGAAGTTGAACGTAGTACCATATCTTGATTTTTTGAACAAGCATTAAAATATACGAACTGCTTTTTCTGCCTGCTCGTTTCTTTGTGACTGGGATCCTAGTAATGCTTGTAGAAGCAAAAGTAGGTGTGCTTGCTTTGTGCTATGGCATACTTCAAACGAATCGTTCTATGATGAGGGAGTTCTGATATCTACTTGCCTCAGCAGAGAAAAAAGAACACTGTCGTCGAAGCGTTACTGCCTTTTGTGATATCTCCCACACAGGAGTTTTTTTGCTTGGTAACCACAGTCTGTTGTTTTAAGCGGAGCTTTCTGCGACATCTTTGTGCCGATTATCGTTGTTTACATCGAACTGCCTAATAGATCCTGATGGTCCGTATACCCTAAGGGGGTCTGAAAAGTTTATCTGTAGAAAGTAGCCAGTAGCATTTCTTTTTAAGTTGCTGCTTTCCTGCTTTAATGCATTCTCTTCTCTCCTTTCATTTTGGTAAACTTGTTCTAGCATTTACTTCTGTGCGCTCTTTCTAACTTTATTTTTTTCGCGACAATTGCGTTCTGCTTTATTCTGCCTTCCTCTACCATTTTCGCTCGTCGGCTTCGGCGGAGTGTCTGTTTTTTACGAGTCGCTCGCCACTGCGGAGAATATTGTCCATTATGAAGTTTCATTTGGCGTCGTTATAGTTAAGTGTGCTCACATTCAAAATCCTTTTATCTTGACCTCATTTTTTGTATGTTTGGATCTTGATTAAGCTGGTTGTTTTTTGCTAGTTTCGGATTTGTGTGCTACTTGTTGGCATTGTAACGGCTTATTGCTAGTCTTGCTCTAATTCTTATAGCATTTCATGAAACCAGTTGCGGGTGGCATCCTGCAGAATGGATAGCGGTTGCTTTTTAAAGAGTCCAGAAAGTTCAAATCCTCCCTTTATGCGACTATTAGCTTACTCCAAGCCCGCACGTCTGAAATGTACGGGAAATTGCAAATCTTCAGTCAACTTCCAAAAATTGCATTTTTCATAAACTGTAGTGTCTTGCCCGACAAAATCGTCTTCCGCAATCGGTGATGTGACGTGAACCTGCTGTACCCCCTCAAACTGCTGTCCCTCGTGCGCGCTTGTGGAGTCAAAATATTTTATAGGCAGAACAACATTTTATTACGAAGTAAAAATTTAAGTGCCAGTGGTATAATTTTATACGGTTTCGCATATAAACTGCTCACTTCCTCACATAATCGTAGCGAATTGGTTAACAGGGTAAATTTGTGACACTTACTTTAAGACCCGACCCAATATACGCAGAAACCAATAGTCGCACACGAGCCAGAAAGTAGCTGCGTACTCACATAATTTCTGCAGCGCACAAGAACGTGTAGGCGGAATAATGTTGCTGAACAGCAAACATTTGGAGAGAATTAAAATACTATAGAAACCTCGAATTGTTAAAGTTAAGCTCAGTAATCCTCAGAACCTGTACATGTAAAATGAACATAGTGCATTTACAACAAAGAAGAAATTAGCTTTGGAGTGGATATTATTTTTTAAAATAGCTAACAGTTAATGATGGAAAGACAACCCGCAAAAAGCAGTGAGTGAAGCTGGTAAAGAAGAAAAAGAAAAAAAAACAAAGTAAAAATAAACCAGAACACAGTCGTCGCAATAAGACGTCAAGTGATTACAGTGATTTAATTAAATCAACCATAAGGAATAAAACAGAAGAAACCTTTAATAGTTTTGTTTTCTTGGTAAAGTAAGGAGAAATATATGCAACCGCAAACCCGTTGGTATTCGATCACCAACTCTCCATCCGCTAATATTCACCATAAACTCCACAAAGAATTGAATACAAAAACGAGGAGAAACAATCCCCATCAAATTTCGATATGACCTAACTGAGGCACAGATCAAAAAAAGATTGAACGTGTACAGTCCCATTAAGAACTGTAAAAAAAATAAAGTTCCGTAAAAACCTACTGCACAGCTAATTGCTCCCAGAAGGTTTCAAAATGTTTGAATAGGGGAATGAAGCAGCAGGGGAACCCAATCGCAGTAATAATCACAGCTTGAATTTTTTGCAAAAGTAATATGCCACAGGGTTATAAAAATAATTAGTTAAACAGTAAGGATTGGCTACTCAGGAATAAATAGCCACTGTCCTTTCACCAAAACTGCATAAAACGTGTGCTCTCAAGTTTTTTCTTCTTCTGCTTCATAACAGCCAAATTTAAGCCAACTTTCAAGGATTTTCCCCGCTTCTCGCAAACCGCTCAAATAAGCGCCGGTCATAGTTTGAGGGAAAAAACGATTTGTTCCCTGGAAAAAATTTTAAAAAATTGAAATCATCTAAATGTGGAAAAGACGACAAAAAAAGAACCTTGGCGCAATAGCTGTACTGAGGCACCCAGGCAGCAAATGAGCAAAAAAAGAAAGAAAAAAGACAGGAATTTTAAAAAACCTCTCCAGCGAAAAAAACTCTTCCATCAATATCATTTGCAATGATGTCGTAGTCTTCTCCCGTACCGCCAACACGCAAATAAGAGTATGACATACCAATGAATTGATCCCGACCCCAGTGAGTCACTACATGGCCTGTCGGCTCCGGAATTGCCTTAATTTTTTTCGCTTTTGATGGAGCAAACATGGTACGAAATAAAGTTGTTAGTCAAAGAACAGGTTTCTAAACTCGCAAGAGTCAGGGAGGCATTCATTATTTAGCCATACCACATCTGGAAACATATCCTTCAGAGTGTCCAAAAATATATCAACAACTTCTGCATCGCTCTTCTCGTTGACTATGTTAACGGAATCCCCGCAAACGTAGGACATGAGAACAAATTGTTGACTTTTTCCTGACTGGAAATCAATGAAAACGCTTTGACAGCAAACTTCGACAGTGGGGCTGGCGAAACTTTTAAAACATCAACTTACTCTACTAGAGAAATCGTAAAACATATTAAAAAGGCCCCTGTTATGAATACTTTCTGGTACATGACCAAAGTAATCCAAAGTTCCATCGCTCTTCAACAACGACGACCAGAATCTTTTTGGAAAACGGACTGCGACCTGAAATTCCGGTCACATGGTAAAATACACAAGCAACCACTGGCAAACTGCACCAAGTACCTTCTCAATTAATCCTGCTCCTAAATTACTTAGAGCACGTCTTTTATCAGTCGGTAATTCTGGAAGGAAAGTTATTAACCCGCTCTTCAAGACTGCTAAAGGGACAGTAATTAGCACCTAAAATAATATGCAAATGTAGAACTTTGATTGTTAGGGGAAGCTTGAAAACAACTGGGAATCAAGAAGAAGAAATCAAGAAAATACAACATGCCTTATTACAGTGATATTTTTTCCCATTTGAACACTTTACAGTGATTCTCTTTTTCGAAGTTAGATCAACCTTACAGACCTGGAAAATTAGAACATCGGCTCTGATTATAAAATACAGCATGATTCTACAAAATTGAAGATATTGATTTTTACAATACCTGATGATTACAACGAAGATCTGAAATCTCAGCAAGTTTCCTAACCAGCTCTGAAGAACCATCAACCAAAAGAGCATGCTCCCCAGCAAATTGGGCAACTGCTTCATTTTGATCCCAATTCCTAGCGGAAACGTCAGCCAGTTTTGAACCACATGAGAATTCAACGTTGCCAATTTGCCACTGTAACAGTCTTTCCTCCTCCTAAACCACAAAAATGATTCAGATAATTCATTGTACTTTGAAAGTCCAATTTCTCAGTAATAGGGAAAAACGGTGGGACAAAACTAACAACCGCTAATGATCAGTAAAACTCGAGCACACCTGTGTCCATTTAAGTCCTGAAGCTTTTAAAAATAAATTATGCATCTTCGTCAACTGTTCTAAAAAAAAAACATGTACTAACAATAACCGCATAGTACTTTTGATAAATTTATTGTGGAATTAATGGTTAGGTAGAGAAAAAATAAACAACATAGTATCGATAAACTTAATTACCTTCTAAACTTATATCATGACCTTTCACCAATTCTTTCCACTCAGCAGTAGCATCTAGAAGGCAGTTAAAGTGCTCATCAACTAATCGGTCGCTAAGCATATTGGCTCTTTTTCCGGTGCTCGCATCCACCAATGGACATGTGTCAGTAAGAGGTCGATAGGCAACTCCAACCTGAAGAAAAACTACATTTTATATATTTATATAACTGAGCACTTTTAAATGTAAGACAAATTAGGCTATTTAATGTTTTGATAAAACATTTTAAACAATCAAACAAAAGACTGGTAAAGAAAAAAAAGAAAATTACTTGTTCACACATCAATACTATAGGGTTATTGATGACTCCAGTAATCAGTTGCGCACCACAACCTACAGCTACTCCCAAAGACCAATCGTCCTTAAAGAAGTGTAATTTTAGAGTACTAGGGCCGAGAAGACTACGTGTAGAAACACTTTTGCTAAAACAAAGTCCTACAAATGAAACTGACGTAAAGGAGTCATTACCAATAATCTTCCTCCAATTTTTCCTTTAGCCTCTAGAACCTTTACACTGGCACCATAAGACCGAAGCTGACGTGCAGCAGCCAATCCGCTGATTCCACCTCCAATAACCAAAACTTCCAATTTCTCAGATCTTTTTGAAAAAACAGTTTCTTTCGGCACCGCAAGAATACCATAGTTTATAAGTGACTTCATAACCAGAAACTCATAAACTCGAGCTATTTCATGAGTATACCAAATCCTAGCTAACCCACGACAAATCAAGTACGGCAAACACTCTTCCAGAGTAAGGTATTGAAATGGATTGAAATTCCATAATG